TTTTTAATCACAGAAATCTGAAAATCTTATAAAATTGTTAGCACTTTCCCCAGAAAAAATAAATGCATTTATACAAGTAAGCATCAAATTTTATATAACGTTACAGATTTTACAGACCCACTGAAGCCCATTCAAGAGCTCTAGGTGAGAAATACTGTGGAAAAGTTCGAAGAAATTCCTGATGTATTATCTCAATGGAGTCTCATCAAAACTTTGTAAATAGGAATAGCTACTATTTTTACCAATTTAAGAATGAATAAACTATGTCTCAAAGAGGTAAAGAACGCACAGTTGACAGGGACAGAATTCACACCAGTGGCCACATCCTGTTGCCTTAGCACTGTGAGTTTCATGTCGTAGCACAGGGTGGTTTATTATACACAGACACAGAACAGGATATTGTCAAATAACAAAACCAGACCTTGAATCCTGATTCACTCGTGAAATTTTGAAAAACCTCCTGACTTTATCATGCCTTGGTTTCATCATCAATAAAGTAGAGATAATAACACTTGCCCTGCATATCCCCTAGAGTTGTCATAGAGATAAAATGTAGGGGGAAGCATTTGCAAACATAATTTATCTTTATTATTATTAATACATAAACGTGTCTATTACGAATCTATTACAACTCAGGCCAGCACTGGGGTAAGTGCTGATGGGACCTAGGTGGGGGAAGAAAAAGACAAAGCATCTTACTAAAAGGCAATTAAAACGCACCATTCTAGTTCAAAAAGTCTGTTTCTATGAGTAATTAGCAATCTATTATGCATCTGACAATGGTTTGTTGGCTATTAACATCAGTTCCGTATGGCCATCCTATAAAGTGAATCAACATAGCAGGGAGTTCCCAGCTTTAAAAAATGTTTGCTTTCACAGGTATCTGTCTAATTTATGTCTGCGATTTAATTTCAATGATTAAAATTTTAAGTTAATTTTGAAGTCTGCTCTTTTTCCCCTGCATTCACCACAGACTTGCTGAAGACTCCAGGACAATTAAGGCACATAAAAGCATAACAAAGCTCCCTCTCCCTATTTGATGCTATCGGGCTTCATATTCTTAGTGTCAGAGATAATTCACATGCCTTGATACCCCGGATACTTTGGTTGCATAAGTAGGCTAGGTCTTTCATAAATGTGAGTTGAGTTGAAGTGTGTGAATAAGATGCTGAGCTAGTGCTCTCTGAGGTGCTCCAACTGTGACTAGCTGGGTACCATCTCACCTCCATGCAACTCAGTTTTCTCATCAGTAATCTGGGTATCATGAAGCCTGTTTTAATGGGAAAAGTCTCTGCAAATTGCAATGGCCCATGAAAGTGGAATAAATCATGATTTTTTGCATTTAGAACTTCCCTGAGCCAGTTCTTTCCAATATCTTCTTCATCACAAACAGTCTATGACATCACCTAATGTACTTAACAGTCTGCCTCTAAAACTGAACTGAGACTCACGGCCGATGTTCTCGTTTGGGGTTTTTGCTGCAGATTGCACTCACCTATTTAGATACCCCTTGTTCACTATTCACCAGGGGATGGGCCATCTGGATCCATTATCTGTTTTATTTCTTATGTACCCCACAGAAGGGTAGTTAAAGCGAAAAACTTTATGAGCTGATCCTTTCATTCTTAGTCACAACCCTTCTACAGTTGCTCTGCAGTGATGCTACGGAACCCGTGTGAGATCACTCCAGGCTGCTCTTCTAACCTCTAAATGGAGTCAGTCCTCAGGGATGGATGGAATTTCACTGCATTTTCTCATTTCATTTGTATAATGAAATCATTGTTTGGCCTTTCGTTCTGTACTTTTGCCCTTTTCGGTCTTAAGGTGGACCTTTCGGTAGCCCCTTCCTATTTCTCTACAAAAACTAAGAATCATAAATGGACTCTCATCAAATCTCAACAATTTCATGTATTTCCAAAAGTATCACATCAAATACATTCCACCTTCACAGCAGTATCCATTTGTTATATACTTGCATGTACTTATATACACATAGAAGTGAATATGTATATAAATCTATAATGTGTGGACGTGGTAAAACTCAAACCGTCACCGGAAAAATCAATCGCTTATCATCACTGATTGGATCAGTTGTGTGATGATAGGATCCACGTGTGATCACATTCAACTCCAAAGAGCAGCATGCAATGAAACATCAGCCTTCCCTGGAATCACCTGGGGTACTTGTTAAACTAGAGACAATCAGACCTTGCCCCAGAATGATAGGTGGTTTATGGAATAAACAGAGAGAAAGTTTTTTAAAAAATGTATCTGTTGATTTATAGCCAAAAATCTCCCCAACGTTACATGGAGGGCAACAGAAGGGAGAGTTGTTGAGTAAATTGCACAATATTCATCTAATGTGAACACCACAGTGATTAGCAAGAAGCCAGTTAAACAGAAAAATGCATGCGGTATTATGATAAATAAAAAGCCAGCATAATAATTGATGGATCAGAGAAAAAGATCAGCAGTAAATCAACATACTTGGGAAGCTTTAGTTTTGAGCAAAGATGTTCATTCACATTAGTAGGGAAATAATGTATTATCTAAGAAATAGTGGTGAGGCATCTAGCTACCAAAGAAATCGTATCCTCCTTTACACTTACACCAGCACAAATTCCAGAAGAATGAATGAAAATAAAGCCATAAAAGCAATAAAGGAGAGCACAGAAAATATTATAATCTCAAAATAAGAGAGTTTTCCAACTGTAATCTAAAACCCAAAAGACAATTAAAAATACTGATCAATCCAACTGTGTCCAGGCCTATTTTTAGAAGCTTTTTCTCCCCAAATAAACACCATAAACAAAACAAAAAGACAAAGAACATACTGGAGAAAATATTTACAACTCTTAATGTGCAGGGCTAATTAATACATGAGTCATTAAAAGCCAGTATTTTAAAAATTCCATTAAAAGTGGGTAGATGACAGAAAAACATACAGAAAATAAAATGTGATAGTTTTTCATTATATACAAAGTTTCTCAACCTTACTTATTGTAAGAAATAGACAACAAAACTTCAGGAAGATACTATGTTTCACTTAGGTTAACAAAGATCAAAAACCTGATGACACACTATGTTGTGGAGAAATGAGCACTGTCATTTATTGCTGGTGGGCATGTAAATTGGTGAATCTCTAGTCAATTAAAATATAAAATGCACACACTATTTGACCCAGGACTTCCATTTCCCATAAATTTCTCACGTAGTTGAGAATTTAAATTTTAAAGGAAAATGATAACTCTTTCTTGGTCATAGTCCTAAGGTATCAACAAGTCACTACCACAACTTGTTATAAAGACATCAAAATTGGCCAGGCACGGTGGCTCATGCCTGTAATCCCAGCACTTTGGGAGCCTGAGGTGGACGCATCACAAGGTCAAGAGTTGGAGACCGTCCTGGCCAACATGGTGAAACCCCGTCTCTACTAAACATACAACATTAGCTGGGCGTGGTGGTGCATGCCTGTAGTCCCAGCTACTTGGGAGACTGAGGCAGGAGGAACACTTGAACTGGGAAGGCAGAGGTTTCAGTGAGCCAGGATCGCGCCACTACACTCCAGCCTGACAACAGAGCGAGACTCCGTCTCACACACACACGAAAAAACACATCAAAATTGGTCAGCGACAATCCACTTTAGTAACACACTTCTGAAAGCTAGCCAATCAGTAACAGCCTTACTTCTGAAATCCAACTATTAGCAACAGGCACACTCCAAATGCCAAGCTTTCACTGCTAAAGGTCAATTAATTTCCAAACACACTTCTCACAGTGTTTTAATTCCTGAACTTAATGCTTCCCAAACCCTATATATGATCAGTATTTGCTTTAACAGAACTGTGTCCTACAAGCACTGTTGTCTCTTATTTAGCAAGCAATAAAGTCAGATTTTTGCTTTAGATATTGAATGGCAGCCTTTTCCTTCCATCCAAGAACTAGAACATAGGAGAGACAGCATATGCATAAAGATGTCCTACTCTTTTTCAAAGCATTGTTTAGTATAGCAACACATTGCAAACAATGTAAATAATCTCAAAGGACCTGTAAATTAGAAACCAGAAACATCAGATGTGTCCTGGAAAGGGAACTAGCTGGCATGGGGCAAAGAAGGAAAGAGAGACAAATACATTTCATACACACAATTTTGGAGTTCTTAACATTTTGCCCCATTGGCAGGTATTACATATTAAAAAGTAATTGATTTAAAGTCAGAATTTTAAATTGTATGTGTAAAAGGAAAAAATACACATGAAGTTGGTAACAAACCAGTAACTGTTGCTATGCTAAATTATCAGTGGAATAGTTTTTTCAATGTCTCTTTCCCTAAACCTTTCATAATGTTGTGATATAACTTGTAATTTTAAATGGAAATTATTTCTAAATTTCATGCACAATATCAAACCAAAATGCAGCAAATGAGATTATTCCATTTTAAACTGGCATATAACCACAATATTGAAGGCGCATAAAGCTAATTTCTCTTATTAGGAGAAATAACCAAGGAGAAAAGAGGAATTAGAGAAGTCCAATTACATTGCATGAGAGAAATTGACAGAACAAAATCTTCCTGTAACATTAAAAGGCTTCAAGCAAAGCCCAAAAGCTCTGTGAGACTTAGAGCTAACACTTCCATTCCCAACAGCTTGGAGAGCAACACTCTTGTTGCACTGGCACTCAGGTGCAACTATAGACACATGCAACTATTTACTTGCAAAAATAGACAAGTAATGCATGTGTATTGCAAACTTTGCAATTATTTGTCTATTATTTAAAGTTCACCTAGTAAAGAGTAGATACATATTTTGCTTTATTTTAAATTAGTTCTTTCTCCCTGATACACAAGTCCAGGGAAGATCCCAGCAGCCTCTACTTCCAGAAGACAGCTACACATACAGCACAATAACCATCAGAAATAACATCTCCCACTATCACACTTGCTGAGTCACTCAAGTCCTCAAGAAGAAAAAAAAAAAAATAGACCTTAATTTTCTTACCACTGTGTAGTGTGTTCTTGGAATTCAGAAGCCAGGTTAAGCTTTTTTCTTTCAACCGGAGAACTCTAAAAGGGGAAAAGAGTAAAACAATTGAAATCATGTTGCTTAAAAGCTATCCTGAGCTGTTGAGTGGGGAATAAAATAGTACATTAAAATGATCCAAACTATCAAACAGAACTATTTTCATCCATCGTTGGATAGTGACACATAACTCAGACTGTGCTGACTTGCACGGTGAGGTTAAGTTGCAGGGTTTCAGCCACTCATTAATCCTAAGGAAACTCACAAGGCATATTTGTATTATTCCATCACTTAAGACAACTTTAATCCAGTCCCCCATTCCATTTTCATTTCTAGTCTTGAAATACTTAACACAAGGTAAATTGATTACAGAATAAAGTAACACTCTTGGCATAGAATTTAATTTTGTAGTTTATTCATTTTAATTGGTGACTATACTCAAAACCCCTGACAAACAAGAAATTGGAAAGATCTGATGATTAAACTGTTAATCCAAACTTCCTCCTGCACAAAAAATTGTAATTTTTAGGACTAAAACCAAAAGGCAAACTTTGAATATATTTGTATTTCTTTTCATGTTCAAGAAATCACTTAACTAATCACTCGTATCAGTCTTATACATAAAATTTAGAGTTTTAAAAGTTTTTTTCAAAGGCTGCCATTAGGCGATCTGGCAATATCTAATAAAATTAAAAATACATAAGGCCAGGCACCATGGCTCATGCCTGTAATCCCAGTCCTTTGGAAGGCCAAGGTGGGGATACTGCTTGAGCCTGGGAGTTCTAGACAAGCCTAGGCAACATAGAGACCTAGACTCCACAAAAAATTTTTAAACATTAACCAGGCATGGGCATGCATGACTGTAGTTCCAACTACTTGTGAGGCTGAGGCGGGAAGATTCTTTGAGTTCAGAAAGTCGAGGCTGAAGTGAGCGGTGATTATGCCACTGCACTCCAGTGTGAGTGACAGAGCAAAACCTTGTCCCAAAAAATAAAATAAAATAAAATTCTAATGCTACAATTCCATTTCTGGAGCTCTGTAAAGGCACACGCACCATGACACTCATTACAGCATTGCCATTTGGAGGTCAAGAACTAGAAACCATGATAATGCCCATAGATGAAAGAATGGTGCGATAAATCCATGGAGCAATGTTATATTCACTGGACAGAATATGAAGCATTCATGGAATGTAATTAAATAGCATTAATTAGATGTTAAAGAATTTTGTCAATGATTTTGATTGGGAAAAGCAGTAGGCAGAAAGAGAGCAAAACGGTTTTGTAATCAAATGGTTACTCTCTCTCTCTATATATATATATAATATGTGTATATATGTAGATATTATATATCTACATATATAAACAAATTGTAAAACTAAGCCTTCATATCAATTATTCCCAATCAAGAGTGATATTGCCTGCTAGAGATATTTCATGATGTCTGGAGACATCAAGGCTGTGGGGAGCATGTTCTTAGCACCTGGTGGGTGGAGGCCAGGGATCCCGATAAACATGCCTCAGTGCACAGGACAGCCGCCCACCTCAAAGACTTATCTGGCTCACGTGTCAATAGCACTGAGGCTGAGACATTCCTGTATGTGGAGATGATATGATTTTATAATTAAATTACATATGTATAGAAAATGTTTGGAAGCTCACACACCAGATTGTCCACGTAGCTCATCTAGTGAGAGATGGCGGTGGGGATGAAGGCTGAGATGCTAGTGGAGAGGAAGAAGTAGTAGATGGAGGTGCCCAGGTTAGGGTCAGTTTTATAATACAATCTTTTCTCTTATATCTTGATATGCTTCGGCTCTGTGTTCCCACCCAAATCTCCTTTTGTAGCTCCCATAATTCTCACACATTGAGGGAGGAACCCAGTGGGAGACAATTGAATCATGGGAGTGGGTCTTTCGCATGCTGTTCTTGTGATAGTGAATGTGTTTCATGAGATCTAACTTTTTAAAAAGGGAAGTTTCCCTGCACAAGCTCTCTCTTTGCCTGCCGCCATCCACGTAATATGTGACTTGCTCCTCCTTGCCTCCTACCATGATTGTGAGGCCTCCCCAGCTGTGTGAAACTGTAAGTCCAATTAAACCTCTTTCTTTTGTAAATTGCCCAGTCTTGGGTATGTCTTTATCAGCAATGTGAAAACAGATGAATACATACCTGTATCAAATTACCTTGAAATTATTACAGTCATGTTTCTTTTTGTTTCTTAGATGCAGCAAAGTAAAGGCATAACTTTAAAATTTCACTAAACCACACTCTTCCCAGATAAATGAAAAATAAATCCAACTTGGAAGGAAATCTCAACTTAAAGGCCATCAAAGGGAGAGAAATGATAACTCAGCCAGTCTGGTCTTTGGTCAATCTTTGTACAATATTGCTTCTATTCTCCTAAATAATCTTGTTGATTTCAGTTAATTTGAACTGGCCTCACCCTCTTTCACTGTTCATATAAGTAGTTTGGTATTTTTATTACATGATAGGGCATTCAATTTTAAATATAGCAGAGCACCAAAACTACGAAAAGTCATTCATTAACTTTGCACAGATGTGAGTATGGCTCTTGTAGTTGTTCCACTTTTCCTGCTAGCAAATCCACAAGATACACTTCAAAATGAGTATTCTGCCTTATGTCAGATGTGAACCACACCTAGTCAATGCCGTTTCTGAATTAAGAGGTAGTACTTTTTGTCATCTTTCCTAAACTGTTAGTCTTTAGGTGTTTTGTGCAGATTTTAGCAAAAGCACAGAGCTTCATTGTATTCTGAGTAAACCTTTCTTTCACGAAAGCCATTGTGAGGCTTGTATATGGCTATATGGCATTACGGTCAGACGTCAGTGCCACCAAGAAAAAGTACCTATTCTCACTAAATGCCACATATCAGGTTACTGCATACACATAAAACACTAGGAACACAGAGGGTGCTATGGGATGCCAAACTGATCCTCACTATTCATCAGGGGAAAATAACATTTTTTTGGTACTCCTATTTCTAACTCTTTCCAGGACCTTGCCCCTTGATTCCATTCACCCTGCTCTCACTGGGGTGATAAATTCTCCTTCTCCCATCAATTCTTCTCTCACTCCTTCCTGATGATTTTATTTTATTGTGGAGTATTTCCTTACCGGACTGTAATGTTTTGTAATTCTCAGCATAAAGTATTTTTCCACCTGAAGTCTCCTTACCCAAATATCTATCCTCAAGCTATTGTCTGATTACACTTCCAATCTCATGAAGATGCTGTTCCCAGTCCAGCCTACATATCCACACTCATTTGTGTGTACTAAGTGCTTGTTTTCTGATTACCCCTCTGATGAGATGACACCACAACCCTTTGATACCCACTCTGTTCTGATTCTCAAGGTCTATTTTAACTTTCTTGGTTATGTCACAAAACACAGATTATAAGACTATCAGAGTAAAGCCGGGAGCACTGGTCCACAGTAGCCAATAGGTTTCAATTCCCCTGCTAATGCCATTCATTGGAAAGTTTGCTTTTGCAGTGTCCAGAGGAATGCCTGTGGGGGAGGCCACCATGATGCACTGGCAGTGTTGGCATCAGTAGAAGTGGGTAGTGGCAGTGGACATGGCCAGCACCTGTTTATTGCCCAAAACTAGTCATAAGGGCGGATATTAAGAGTGTGGATAAGTTAAGAGTGTGGATATATACATAGACATGCACACAAACTACATGTGTGTGTCTCCAATGTGGAAAAGACCAAAAGTGTTTGTAAGCTGTAGACAAGATACCAGCAGAGATTTCTTCTTATTTCTTCCACATTTTCCAGGAAAGTCCAAATTCCTTCCTGACATAACCTTCTTCCCTAGCCGTCTGTTGGGCAACTCTTTGAAGAACCACCCAGAACATGCTTCTTGCCAGCTCTCGTGACTGGTTCCTTCAATGTATGCAAGTGTCTGATCAAAGGTCACTGTGATGGTTAATATTACGTGTCAACTTGATTGGATTTGAAGGATGCCTACATGGCTAGTAAAGTATTGCTTTTGGATGTGTCTGTGTAAGTGTTGCCAGAGGAGACCGACATTTGAGTAGGTGGACTGGGAGAGAAAGACCCACCCTCAATGTGGGTGGGCACCACCCAATCGGCTGCCAACATGGCTAGAACAAGACAGACAGAAGGGATTTGCCTTGTCTCAGATGAGACTTTGGACTTTAGACTTTTGAGTTAATGCTGGAATGAGTTAAGACTTTGGGGGACTGTTGGGAAGGCATGAGTACATTTTGTAATGTGAGAGGGACATGAGATTTGAAGGGGCCAGGGGCAAAATGATATGGTTTGAATCTGTGTCCCCACTAAATTTCATGTGGAATTGTAATCCCCAATGCTGGAGGAAGGGCCTGGTGGAAGGTGAGTGGATTATGAAGGCAGAGTTCCCACGAATGGTTTATCACCATCCCCTTGGTGCTGTTCTTGTGACAGTGAGTGAATGAGTTATCACAAGACCTGCTTGTTGTACAAGTGTGTAGCACCTCCCTGCTGTCTCTCTTCCTCCTGCTCCAGCCATGTAAGACTCCTGCTTCCCCATTACCTTCTGCCATGATTGTAAGATTCCTGAGGCACTAAGAAGCAGAAGCCACTATGCTTCCTGTATAATCTGTGGAACCATGAGTCAATTAAACCTCTTGATATGGTTTGGCTGTGTCCCCACTCAAATCTCATCTTGAATTGTAGCTCCCATAATTCCCGCATGTTATGGGAGGGATCCAGTGGGAGATAATTGAATCATGGTGATGGCTCCCCTATATTGTTGTCATTGCAGTGAGTAAGTCTCATGAGATCGGATTGTTTGATAAGGGAAACCCCTTTCACTTGGCCCTCACTCTTCTCTTGCCTGCCACCATATGAGATGTGCCTTTCACCTATCATTATGATTGTGAGCCCTCCCCAGCAACATGGAACTGTGAGTCCATTAAACCTCTTTCTTTTGTAAATTGCCCAGTCTTGGGTATGTCTTTATCAGTGGCATGAAAACAGACTAATACACCTCTTTTCTTACAAATTACCCAGTCTC